TAGGATCCTTACCTGTCCATAGCCTCTCTGGAACTTCAAAGTTCAGTGGTACCGAAGGTGATCGGTTGATAAGGTAGCATGCGGTGTTGACTGCTTCTGCCCAGAATGACTTCGGAAGCTTAGCCATATTCAGCATGCTCCGGACACGCTCCATGATAGTCCGGTTCATTCTTTCAGCAACGCCGTTGTGCTGAGGGGTGCGTGGTACTGTCTTCTCATGTCGAATGCCATATTCTCTACAATATGCATCGAACGCCTTAGAAGTATACTCGCCTCCATTATCAGATCGGAGACATTTCAGCTTCTTTCCCGTTTCACGTTCCACCAAGACGTGAAATGTCTTGAAGCACTCAAATACCTGATCCTTCGTAATAAGGAAATACACCCACACTTTCCGAGAAGCATCATCAATAAAAGTCAGAAAATATCTGCTTCCACCGATTGATTCCACCTCGAAAGGACCACAGACGTCGGAGTGTACCAAACTTAACAACTCTGATCTTTTAGCTGAAGTAGAACTAAATGATACTCTATGATGCTTACCAAACAGACAATGACTGCAAGGACCCAGTGCAGCATTCTTGTCGATGTTGATAAGGTTCTTCTTGACCAAGGTAGTCAGCCCTTTCTCACCGATGTGGCCGAGTCTCAGGTGCCACAGATTATGAGAAGTCTCCTCAGCAATGTTGAGGCTATCCGTACAAATCCTCAAATGAGTTTTGTACAATGTGCCACAAACATGTCCTCGAGCGATTGTCAAAACGCCCTTTGACATTTTCCAGGTGCCTCTGTTGAAGTGGTTTTCATATCCCTGTTCGTCAAGACATACCACTGACAGGAGATTGAGACGAAGGTCTGGAACATGTCTGACATCCTCAAAGTGATTGTGCTCCCAGAACTCGTCTTTATTTGTACATCACCAATTCCAGCTATTTCAGATGAACTGGAATTACCCATCTTCACTGCTCCAAAGTCTCCAGCTTTGTAAGTTGTGAAGTAGTACCTGTGGGGAGTAACGTGGTAGGATGCTGCAGTATCTACCACCCATTCAGTGTCCTCTCTTGAGACGTGAAGGCATGTTTCATCATTGATAGTACAATACGCCACATCACCTGAGATTGTGATGAGCGCTTCACCACCCTTGCTCTTCGCTTGAGAATTGCTCTTGCCTCGCTCCTCTAGCAATTTGTAGCAATTCTTCTTCATGTGACCCTCTATACCGCAATGGTGGCAGGTATAAGAAGGTTTCCGGCCATCTGATGATCTCCCCCGACTTTTGCCCCTGCTTTGCCATTTTCCTCTATTGTTTCTTTGTTGTTTTCCTTGTGATCTTCCTCTATTCTCTGTCACAAGGGCATGAGTCTCATCTGTGCTCATGTCTTTCCTTCTTGCCTCCTCATTGAACAGTGCATCCTTGACCACAGACATGGTAAGTTTGCCATCTGGGGCTGATTTGCTGAGAGTAACAACTAGTGTCTCCCAACTATCAGGAAGGGAACTAAGAAGTAGTAGAGATTGCATTTCATCTCCAAGTGGCATTTCTACACAAGATAGTTGATTTACCAGACTCTGAAATTGACTAGTATGTTCGGCAACAGAAGTTCCACTTTTGAGCTTCATATTGACAAGACGCCGCATCAGTAGGGCCTTGTTCCTAGCGGTCTTGGCCTGGTACATATCTTCTAACTTTTTCCAAAGGGCATAAGCATCGGTTTCTTGTGCAACATGGTGGAAGACACTATGGTCAATCCATTGTCGGATTTGACCAATAGTTTTTCTATTAATTTTCTTCCACTCCGTTGACTTGGCCGGATCAGAATTAATACCTTTCATCTCTATTGGATCAAAAAGGTCTTTACAACTAAGGAAATCTTCCATCCGAGGTTTCCGTAGCGTGTAGTTGGTAGCCGTGAGCATAATCATAGCTCCAGAAGATGAAGTTGACTCGTCAAAGGTCATTTTCACCTTCTAAATAATTTTGATTTTCTGTTTCAGAAAAATCGGAGCCGAATTTCGAAAAACGGGCAGCACCGTTGCGTCCGGAACGGCCGAAAGTGGTGGGTAGGCACTTTCGGGGTCAAAATAAAATTTTCGAAAAATTATAGGTGGAAATTATAATTTTCCAAAAATTGAGGGACCAAACTGCAAATTTTCAAAATTACAAACTGACCGGTGACGTGGCAGATGACGTGGCAGTGACGTGGCGGTGACCGGGCGATGACGTGGCAGCTGACAGGGCGCTGGTGAAAGTTGGCAGTTGACTGATGACGTGGCGGCTGACTGTGCTGGGACTGCACATGTGGCGCTGACGTGTCGCTGTCGCAGCTCTGGCTGGCTGATGACGTCAGCGATGACGTCAGCTGTCTTCAACCTCTGTCTACGTGTGATGACGTCAGCATGACGCAGGCAATTTTTGGCCGGCGTTCGGCGGCGCGTACGGCAGCTTCCGGTGGCCAAAAAAATCCCCAAAAATACCAGTTTTCTCGTCTCGACGAGACGAATCCAACGGTTTATTCAGATTGCAATTCCGAGCAATACTGAAAAACTCGATTTTTCAGACAGTAGAATTTTATCTGAAAAAAATCTGGGAAAAATATCAAAAGCTCAACCAGGCTCTGATACCACTTGTTGGGAATAACAGGATCGTGCTAATATGAGAGAAAAACACTTCTATTACTTTCAAGAATAGAAAGAGACATACAAGCTCTAACTAAAAACTCTCAAAACACCTCACATATCTCTCAAGGATATTCACAACTCAAACTTGGTTGTGGTATTCTAATCTATGATCTAAATTGCTTGATGATAGAAAGACTCTCCAAGCTCTCTATTTATAGTACCAAAACAAGGTAGTATGAAGGTGGGAGGAAGATGTGTTGAAGCTAGGAGGAAGTTTCAATGGAACATGAGGAAGCTTCAATGGTGGTTGAGGAAGCTCCCCTTGTCATTCTTGCACATGGTGGAAGCTTCATGGAAGCTATGAATTGGATTCTTCAATTTGCTTGTACTTGGATATGACCTGGAAATTGAATTCTTCATAAAATGGCCCTTTTAACCATGCAAATATATAACGGCGTGCTTTAGGCTTTAAGTATTCATTTTCATTCCAATGCAAGACATATTAGGGGGTATTTAATGAATAAATATGGGACTATAAACAATTGTTTGATCTTTTCGAAGGAATTGAAATTTTTAAGGAGTATCTAGCCTACAAGTTGAAATGGCATTAGATCGTAAAAGTTGTAACATCACTGGCTATTTTTTCAATTACAGAGGGCGAGTTCTTTAGGTATATTTATCTATAATAATAATATAATTAGAGGTCAGTTCTCAAATGTAATAATATAACCTCTATGCAGAAAAACATTTCAAGTATTTCAATCATAGAGAAATATAAAGAGATACTAGCATCAGTTAAAGCGAATACCATCATTATTTCGGTTGAAGCGGTTGAATTGACTAAATTCGTTGAATTATGACAACATTATATTTTATATACGTAGTATATTTTATTAATAAAATAAAGAAAAAAATGTAAATAGCTAAAATAATGATAGTGACTCGGACTTATTCAGATAGAACAATAACTTCAATCGTATTTATTTTAATTATTATATAATTTTATGTGTAATATCAATTGTGCGTTTGGTATAAAAGTCTGCTATAAGACTCATAAGTTGAAATTTGGGGCTACAAAACAGACTCTTACTGTTATCTTTTATATGGTGTTGTTTATTTAATTGAATTTACTTTTTTTATATTTAGAGTAACATTAATTTTAAATAGATTAAAAATATATTCAAAGAATTGGAACAATATCCCGTGCATGGCACTTTTAGCAATTCACTCCCTATCCTAATAATGATGCAGCGTGTGGATTTGATTACCTATACTAAACAGTATGATTGAAAAATTAATTAATTAGAATCCTTAATTTTAGAGGAGTATATACACAGTGTTGCACGCATTCTCGTGAGATTCTTGTGGCTCTGTCCTCGACAAGCAAAAATAAGAGGTGGAGTTCAAAGCTCAATCAATTACAATACTACATCAAAATAAATCAAAATTAAGAATAGATAGAAAGATCTGTTAAACGAGGCGAAGAGGGGAATGGGAGCATATGTATAAGGAGAACGAAAAAAGTTAAGCTGGAGTGGATGGTGATCGAATTGAATCCCGAGGAAGGAACATGAAACAAATTCACTACTACATTTTTAGATCTAGCGTAACACTAAATATGTAATATATCTCTAATGTAACACTTTTAACACTACAACATTTTTACATATTTCTCTAATGTAACACTTTTAGACTTAGTGTAACACTTTCTAGTAGTAAAAATGTTACATTAGGGACTATATATAAAGTGTTACAATAGGCCTAATGCAACATGAGCAAATGTAATGGTAAAAAAGTGTTACATTTGCTCTAATGTAACACTTTTTAGTGATATTGTAACACTTTTGGGTGATACATTAGGTGTTGAAATGTTGTAGTGAAATGACCGTTACCTCCATTTCATTTAAACTTATTATGTGAATGCATATACAAGTTTGTATTATTTGTATTAATTATCTCAGTAGAGATTATAATTGTAGAACCGCTAAATGTACGGATTATTATTAGTTACCCCATCCGTCGCATTTTATCTGTCTTACTTTCCTTTTAGGTTGTCCCAAAATAAGTGTCGCATTTCCCTTTTTGGAAAGAAGTATGTGGTTCACAGCATTTCACTCTATTATACTCGAATCTCAACCACAACTTTTACCTTTTCAACCACTTTATTAATAATTGTGCCAAAATCAAATGAGACATGAAAAAAGGGACGAAGGTAGTACAAGTTAGCATTCAAATCCTTTAACTTTGTCATCCTTGCGTGTGGACCTCGCCCGCATTGCCATCTTTTTTGTCGTGTTGAAATATCTAATAGACTAAGTCAATTCCTATAAAATGTTAAATGAAATTAGGTCAGGAAGTACACTCCCATTAAAGACGTCTAAATATAGTAGTCCGCACGCCTATAAATCATTGAACCGGTAGGTGTGAGGCTTGAAGGCTTCCGCTCATATTATTACTCATTTCTTAGCAGCTAGGCAAAACAACATAAATGAAGAGAGGTTCAATGAAGCTGCTAGCGTTTTCCCTGTGCCTTTTCGTTCTTGCATCTTGTAACTTCTCTTTCTCAAACTCTTCATTCACGTACTCATATTCATCTTTCAGTGCTTCTGATGTTGATTGAGGGATGCTTGGATAGTTGGATCTATATTCTAAAACTACTTCTAACTTATTCTAAAACTACTTCTAACTTATTATACTACTCATATAATACTACTTATTCAGTATTATTTTGAATGTTTGGGTGAAAATGCAGAAGTACTTTGCTCCAAATTACTCCTAGAAAATGTTTTTTAGAAGTTGCTGGTCACCAGTTTCTAATTATACTCTTGCTTTTTTAAGAAGCGAAAAGCAAATTCAATTCCAAACACCTCCAGTTGCATTTTATTTAATTGGACGTGTCTATAGATCGTGCCTTAGAGCTGGTTTGGTGAGCTTGTTTTTACGTTGTTCATCCAACTTTTTCATCAAACACGTAAGTTATAATTATTTTGTGTGCTAAATTGTATAATAATCAAAATAAGTAAGATTAGAGTTACTTTTCTAGCTGCATTGGCCGAAGTTACCGTAGAAGATTATATTTGCTATTTTCATATAATTTTTTCTTTATTCTATTAATAAAATATATTTAAAACATAATATTTTCATAAATAAACAGAATGAACCAATTTAGACATTTGAGTCATAATTTCATAAATTTCATATGAATGAGTATATATGTCAATTTCAGTGTTACCAGGTCCGCCCCTGGCTGCAGGATGGATATGATTATGAATCAATATCAGTAAGCTAATTATACGGAGTATAAGATTTGTTTGGTTGAATGATTGAACGTGAATGTGGCAGTGTTGAGCAAGGGTTTGATAGAGGCGCAAATAAGCGCAGGAACAAACAAGGAGCAATTGATTGTGAGTGGGCAGGTCTGCAAGTCTCACGATGACTGCAAATCCAACGCTGCTAATAATGGCCGCCATTTCTGTATCAAAGACGTTGCTGGATCTGAAACGGGTCATTGTGCCGGCTTTGATCCCGCCATTGGTACCTACCTAATCACTCCCTCTTTATTAGCTGTCCCAATATATACAACTGTTGCCGTTAATTTAGAGGGGTTATCCACTCATCCGGTTTATTAGTTAACTTTTTCAATTTAGAACACATTATTTTTCTGATTGTATTGGTTGAAGTTACTGTCGATGATCATTTTAATTGTTTTTTTATATATTTTTTTTAATTTATTACTACATACAGTATAAAATATATTATAAATATGTTGTATAATTTTTTCATAAATCACTAGAATCGGTCAATTCAATCACTTCAGTCAGAACTTCATAACTTACAACAAAATCAGCAAATAAAACCGATTTGAATATTACCAAATGGGCTCTTAGTTCACGGTTTGTAATTTTTACTTTCATAGTTTCATATACTCTTTTTAGCGTTTCTGAATCCAGCTTTTGCACAACTTTTACTTTTATGAAATAGACAGTTTATTTTTCTAAATAGGTTAAAGAATGTGAATGAATCGCATCTGCTGAAATTGATGAAGATACATTTGGGCGATTGATTTGGCTGAATAGTAAAAAATAGAGAATATTACTCAAAATAGGACTAAAAAAGTTTTAAAATTCCAAAATAGGATTGCCTTGTTTTTATTCCCAAAATAAGACTAATTACTGTCATGTTTTGGCAGTACCAGACTTCAAACATGACAGTATATTCAAAACTTGGCAATACTTACTCCTTTTTTGGGAATAAAAACATGGCAGACCTATTTTGGAATTTCCAAACTTTTTTAGCCTTATTTTTGGAACTTTCCTGTAAAAAATATACATTTGATCACAATAAATAAATTAAATTTATATGAAAATATAACTAACATGATCATTTCCAATGACTTTGATTCTTCAATCAATTCAATTAAAAAAGTAGTACTAATTTAAATTTTTTTGAATGATAAAAATACCTACATATGAGTAAAAGTTGTTAAATTCGCAATATATGACTGATGGATAATAGAGGTATCCAAACATATTGTTTAGGGGAGATTAAGCTAGAGAGGAGGAAGATGATGAATAGTGTGTGAATGTGGATTTAAGAATTAGGTTTACAAGACCTCAAAAGGATATATATATATATATATATATATATATATATATATATATATATATATATAGAGAGAGAGAGAGAGAGAGAGAGAGAAATCTTTCGGTCAGGAATTTCCTGACCGGAGCACCGTCCGGCCTCCTCCTTTTGGCGACCTTCCCTGTGGTATTTTTTGCTCAAATTTTTTGTTTATGTTCCTCATCACGTCTAGTTCGTCCATACCAAATTTAAGCAAAAAATTCATTCGGGATTTTTGCAAGTTAACTGGTCCGGAAAATACATATTCCGGACCAGTTAACTTGCAAAAATCATTTGACAACCTTCCCGATTGAATTTTTTGCTGAAATTTGGTATGGATGAACTAGACTTGATGAGGAACACACACAAAAAATTTGAGCAAATAAACCACCTGGAAGGCCCCCAAATGGAGGAGGCCGGACGGGGCTCCTGTCCGGAAATTAAGGACAGGAATAATCCTATATATATATATATATATATATATATATATATATATATATATATATATATATATATATATATAGAGAGAGAGAGAGAGAGAGAGAGAGAGAGAGAAATAGCGGGCCGGGCTGCTAATATAGGCCTGATTTGCCCAAGTAGGTAAAGGCTAAAGGGATGGCAACGGGGCGGTTCGGGGTCGGGTATACCATTACCCGTACCCGCCCCGTTTGATAAAAAAATTCCCCGAAACCGCCCCGTTACCCGTCGGGTATTTTTTACCCGCGGGTAACGGTTTTCCCCGCGGGTAACGGTTTCCCCGCGGGTAACCGTTTTATTAAAAAATAATTTTTTTCCTTCAAAACTAGTATAGATCCTAAAATGATTATTAACTACTTATCATTGACCACCTAAATTAAAAAAAATTAAAATTAAATAGTACCACAGATAAAGTTTTGTAAAACATGACAAAAAGTTACAATCGTTTGAATCTAATATTCACAAATTATATATGTCTAGATTCAAATTGAATCTCTTACTACATCAACATCAAAAGAGTAAGTCTTGTCTCGATAGTAAAAACTAAATATGAATCACAAAAACATTTAACTTCCAAACATTCAATAAGCATACCCCCACCAACATTCAACATCTAAATTAATTTAAGAACAATAATGTATACAAGTAACATAATGAAAATAGGAAGTTTTTCCCCTAAAATACCTCTAATAAAAAAGATATGAACATAAATATGACTATAAGTTACCATGAGTAAGTTTTGTAATCACTACGACATAACATTTGAATAAAATTATAAACACTAAAGTTACTAGAGTCGCATTTTTGTCCACAACTTTTATTTTGATTATAGATTTGGAATTATTTAAAAGGCACTTCTAATACTATGATTTAGGTATTCTTGTAGTTACTGTTTTAGAAAAAAAACATAATTTAAATTTTAAAACTTGATATAAATTAGAGCAACCAATCAAAATCAATCTAATCATCCAATACACCTTTACAAAATTATTAGCAATTACATAAATTAAAGCAAGCTAGAGTAATGTTTCGCAATATTTTGACTTTAAACTCATACGTGAGTTTTATGAAAGTTATTAGGTGAAAAACTAAGAGAGTCACAATGTGGAAATTGCGTAAAGAAAGTCACGAAAATCAAATAATCAATATGTGAAGAAAATAAATATTGTAGAGGTTTTTTTGAAGGAATATTATAGAAGTTAACAAAGGAAGGATGATGAATGATATTGAAAATTTAAAATCTAAAATAGTGAACTTTGAGCACCAACTCGATCATCAGAATTGCAAAGGATAGCCGATAAGTTGAATATTGTTTCAAAGTACTAGAGAGAATAAGTGTCATATACTAATGTACTAATATTCATATATACTTAATATATTAAATAATAAATACATAAACTATTAAAATATATAAGTTAATTGTGCGGGTCGGGTAATGGTGCGGGTAACCGTATCCAAATTAAACGGGGCGGGTAACGGGGCGGGTAGGTATAAACCCATAACCGCCTCATTACCCGTTTACATAAATCGGGTATTCCTCGCCCCGTACCCGTTACCCAGTCAAAACGGTTTTCCCCATTTTGACCGGTTCGGTTCGGTGCGGGTATCCATCGGGTCGGGTTAAATTGCCATCACTTGAAGTGAGTATGTGAATTGTACAATAATATAAATGATATCCGCTAATCGTGTGTGGACCGCTGTCCACATCCAAGAGATTGATGGTCTGAGTTTATATACTCTATCAATCAGGTTTTTAGTCATCGATCAATATGACTAAAGAGTCAAAAACAATTCCACCTCATAATGAATAACATGGCCGGACATGCCACCCCCATAATAAATAACATGGTCAGACATGTATGTAAGTTATTTAGGAAAGGGAAAATTCTTGAAATATGAATTAAACGTTTTGAAATTTCAAATATTATATTCCTTAAATATGAGTAATTACTGTCAAGTTTGAAAAACACTGTCATATTTAAAGTCTGATATTTTCAAAACATGACAGTAATTACATCTATTTCGAGAATAAAAACATGACATCCATATTTTAGAATTTCAGAAAGTTTTTACTACTCCCTTTTTTCTATTTAAATATTTACACTTTCCTTTTGTAAGACGTCCCATTTACTCTTTTACGTTTCCTTTTCAGGCAACTCCTTTTACATTAAATGTCCTAACTATCCTTCACTAACCACCCACTTTTTAGATTTGAGTGGATAACATTAATCCCCTCAAAAGTCAACTGGCGTGCAAGACATTTGTTCTTCTATTAATTGAGTTCCTAAAATATCGCGCCAAAAGCAAATAACAAGTTCTATCCAGGACGGAGAGAGTACTATTTAGGGCAAATTTCCTTTCAGAAAATAAACATTTAAGTAATATTATGTGAAACGTAATCAATTTTAGTCATATGAGGAGTAAAATAAAAAATGACGTGTTTGATGAACAAATGTATAATTTATCAAACGGGCTCTTTACATTTTATTTCTTTGAGTTAATTTCTAAAACTCTTGTTTTTGTGAATATTCATGTTTTGCGAGTTTGTTGAAATAAGATTTAAATATGTTAATTATTTCAATATTTTGGAATTATTGAAATTATAATTCCAAAATGATATTTAAACATGACAGTTATTCCTGATTCAAGTCCAAATAGCCTTATTGTGGAGAGAAAGAATGCTGTTAGAATTATTGAAATAATAATTCCAAAATATGGCTTATTCCCACCCTTGCTTCTCAATTCTCAAAGTATTCTTTGTTTTATTCTTTTGCAATATTTGAGAGTAGAATATAATTAGTGTTATTTTTGAAGTGTATTCATGTTTGATTGGTTGGGTGACAAACAAAACATAAATATTCTGAATCATCTTATCTTGTTAATATCTGTGGTGTAATCAGAGACGGAGCTGAAGAAAAAGAAGAAAAAGAAGCCAAAGAAGGGTGGCTGCGGGAAGTGTGAATCTGACGATGATTGCAAGGGCTGTCCAGCAGCAGCTGCTTGCGAAAAAATCATTTTGAATGGCTTTTGCGCCTGAATCAATACAATAATTAATTGCGCAGTATTTATATTACTAATAATAATAATTGTCATATGCTTGTTCCTGGCACAGACTAGCATAAAAAAACACCGTGTGTTTTATGTACCTAAATAAATAAATGTATTACGTAGTATATTCTCTATATCTTTCTTTCATATATAACTAATATAAGAGTAAGAGCATTTACAATGTGCATGGTGCACATGTGAAATGAGAGAGATAGACACAAAAAATTGATTTTATGAAATTTCTCTAACCGTCTTTCCACGGTCTTATGTGTTTTTGGTAAGTTTTTCTCTGCAATGTCAACCACAATGTCTATATCTAGACATTGTGGTTGACATTGTGAAGAAAAAACTTACCAAAATAATATAAGATCCTTCAAATAAGAAGAGAGATATTTTATTTATTGTTTTTGAGTGGTTATCTCATATGCCACGTATTCATGGTTAACGTATTAGCATTGGAAATGCTCTAAATTAGGAGAAAATGTACACCTAGCCAACATGCTCACTTGGAGCACCTCAACGTCATTAATGGTCAGAATTTCTAAATATGTTGGATGAGAGAATCATTATCAAATATCAATTATCACGTCAACGTGCTCACTACAAAACATGTTAGCGCGCTTCGTTGAAAATTCCACAATAAAAAATTTATACATAACACATTTATTAATCTTTAATTATGCACAGTTAAAAAACAATGATGTAATCTTCTCGTCTCAGTTTGTTTGATAAACACTTTAGGATAGGCCTGGACTCGGGCCGGGCGGCCCGACCCGGAACCGGCCCGGCCCGGCCACTGTAGCAACCGGCCCGGCCCGGTGGCCCGGTTCACCGGCGGTTCGGGTCGAACCGGCCCGGTGGTTCCCGGTTCCGGGCCCGGGCCTTCCATATGGTGAACCGGCCCGGCCGGTTCGGGCCCGGTCCGGGCCGGAAATAATTTTTTTTTTATTTTTTTTTGAAAATTTTTTATGTTTTGGGTTAGATTAGGTATTTTGGTCCATTTGAGGTGGTTTGGGGTGGTTTGGGGTTGAGAAAGAGGGGTAGGGGATTAAATAAAGAAGCCAAAAAACCAAAAAAAAAAATAGGGCGGGTGGCCCGGCCCGGAACCGGCCCGGTCTGGCCCGGAACCGGCCCGGAACCGGCCACCCCCGGTTCGGGCTCGGGCCTCAATATTCTGAACCGAGGCCCGGCCGGGCCCAGGCCCGAGGCCCGAACCGGCCCGGTTCAGTCCACCCCTACTTTAGGAGGTTCAATGAAAACAAAGTTAATCCTTCTCAATTTGTTTTGCAAAAACATCCATAAGCTATATTAAAAGTTTTTTTTGAAAGAGCTATATTAAAAGTTTTATTATAACCCAAATGATCAAATATATCTAAGTGATTACAAATTGATAATCACATTAGAGGAGTAAGTGATTACAAATCGATATTTAAAATTAAAGAATACAAATATATAGCATTAATCAAGAAAAGTAAATTGAAAATAATTTTGGGACATGGAAAAAAATCACGGACTTTTTGACTAGAAAATAAACTTTCCGGAAAATAAACTTTCCGGTACTGGGGCCTAAGGATGGACTAGGACTGGTTTGACCGGCCCGGTGCCCGGCCCGAACCGGTATTATTTAATACCGGCCCGGCTCGCCCACCGGGACCAGTCTACTGGGCCCGAACTAGGGGGATGAATGGGCGGGCTACGGGTGTGGAAATAAGGGGACTGACCTAGGGATGGTATCGGCCCGAGTGACCCGAGTCGGGTCGGGTCTTGTATTTGTTTTTTGTTTTCCTAATTTGTTACTACTCCCCCACCCCCCAAACACCTCCAAACCACTCAGCCCAACCCGCCTACAACAAAATCTTTTCAAAAAAGAAAAAAAAAAGGGCCTGGACCGGCCGGGCCAGTTCCAAGAGGCCTCTAGCCCGTTACCCGCCCCAAAACCCCTCTCAGGTCAGGCCCAAGGCCCTGTCCCGATCCCGGTCAACCGGTTCGGGCCGGTTCAGAACAGTGTCGATCCGGGCCGATCAGCCCGGGCTAGGTGCATCCCTAGACCGGCTCGGCCAGTCTGGGCCATTTTTTTGGGTTTGGGCCTCTTCTAAGTGTTTTGGCGGGGTTTGTGGGTGGGGGGTAGGAATAAATTAGAAAAGTAAAAAAAACGACTTGGGCTGGGGTCAGACCGGTCCCGGTAGTATCCCGAGCCGGTACCGGTCCTTAGGCCAAAAACATCAGTCCCGCTTATGAGCGGCCCCGGCCTGGGCTTGGTCCATGCCTACTGGGGCTCCGAACCGGGGGTCAAATGGGGCGGGCTTCGGGACCTTATTTTAGTGGACCAGTCTAAGCCAAAATATTTTTTTTAGTTTTTTGGCATTGGGCCGCTGCTAGGTGGGTTAGGCTGGGTGTTTTGGCGTGGTTTGGGGGTGGGGGCAGGAATAAATGAGAAAAGATTATTTTTTAAAAAAAAGTTGACCCAACCCGGCCCGGTCATGGGTCCAGCCCGGCCCAGTTCAAACCCGGGCCAGGACTGGTTCAAATTTGGGCTGGTACCGGGCCTTCAGCCCAAATCCCTAGTCAGCCCAATCCCGGCCCGGGGCCCGGTCCATGCCTAATCGAAATCATGTTTCAAAAAATAAGAAAATGTTTTTATTTATTCAGTGAATTGAGCTAACGTTTAGTAATACTTCTAAAATATTTGTTAAAAACGATCTGAAAGAATAAGAATATATATATGGACTTCATATGCAAAATGACCACTTCTAGATATTTAATAGAAGAGTTGGAAGATAATCCATATACTAAATTTATACTTGTACATGTTAAGATTTATAAAAAATACTAATATAGCCTAATACTAGAGTCTCATTAGTATGACTAGTTAATTAACTTATATGGATTACCTTTTTGCATCGCCCACTCAGAATTGAGTCTCTTTGAAAGCTAACAAAACACTTCAACATGAGAGCCAAGTGGAAGAAGAAGCATATGAGGAGGCTCAAGAGGAAGCGCCAAAAGATGAGATTGACAGAGATCCAAGTAGATATACGTCTTTGACCTCTGCATCTTACACTGATCATTTTTGCTTCTCTATTTTCCTTCTCAATGTTTCTGTTACGTCTGCGTTGTGTAGGACATTCCAAATTTCTACTATATAATGAAATTACTCTTTGGTGTTTCATTTAATAAAAAAAGCAATGTGACATTGTGACTAAATGTGGCAAAAGTGATACTGGAGTCGGGACTTTTAAGAGTAGAAAAAATGTACGTATAAAAATGTATTTACTCATTTCTTGTGAAGGCACAAGCAGCAGCAGCTAGTAGCCTGATGCAAATCTCAAAAGCTCCTGCATGCTAATGTAAGATCGGCTAAGACTTTCTTACTTGAGATTAAAAAAAATCATAACTTTGCTATCTCTATCGGATGTATTATTAAGCACAAAACCAACCCATAATAAGTGATGCAAATTCATTTACCCAATTAACTCATGTTCCAAACTTTAGTATATACTTGTAGAGGTTGCCTATTTATTGTATCTGAACCTGGATCTGCCATCAATCCGTTGCCCTGCTCAAGCAGCGAGCAGTCAATCATCCTAATCTCCTCCAAAGTATCATGAGAGGTGCTGCACAATTCACTACTGGTTGAATTGGAGAATAAGTTTATGCTCCCGTTTTCCAATCCACTATTACGCCAAGCAACATTACTTATGTCTGTGGCTAATGCGGCAATTTCATGGAGTGGGAAGGAAGGAGGCTCGGCATAGTCAATAAACTCGGGACCCAATAAGGAATTATTATGATTTCCTTGAGTTGCACTCCCACAGCAGCCATGACCACATTGAAGAGGAATCAATTGTTCACCATAAGCCGCTTCAACCAATTTTCTTATCCCAGAATTAAGTTTTCGGTCGTCGAGTGAATTATTATTAATATTAAAAGCACTTACACGAGCCACAGGTCTGAACAGAGTTGGTGGGTCTACTGATTCTTCACTACATTGAACTGCTTCCTGGGTCTTGTCTTCAGTGAGCATATTTTTCTTATCTTCAAGTGAGGAGAAACATTTCTCCTTCGATGAATTAACATCTCCACACGATTGAGTATCTTCAGACGATCCTTTAGATCTTTCTACACTAACATCTTCCATCATGTTGCCAAACTCGCCTGTAAACTTTTCAAGTGCGGCATAATGACGTCTCAAGGTAGAATTCCAGTGATTTTTTATTGCATTGTCTGTTCTTCCTGGCAAAAGCTTTGCAATTGATGCCCATTTATTTCCGTGGACAGCATGTGCCTGGAGGATCATGCGATCTTCTTCCTCTGTAACCAACCATTAATGCCTTTGTTAGTAACCTTGGTATTTTAAACCATTCTTACATTCTATTACATTGTGCACCAAGGATCTAAGGCTATGTTTGGATAACTGTACACATCTACTCTACTTATAGAGAAATACAAACGGCGGGGATCGATTAGCCACATGCACCTCATGGTCCTCATACCACACGTACAGGGAGGTAGGGGGTATGCAACTTGTGGGATAATTTTTAACATCCATTACGAATTGGATTGACAAGCATTAGTGACTTTCTTAACAAACTCACAAGCAAGATTACCATGAATACGAGTTCTTCCCAAGGTCAAAACTCAACACGTAGAAAACGCCTGTCATTTCCTTGCTCTATGTGGAGAGACGGGAATATAGATGGTCAGCCAACTAATGGTATGCTATACATAAAGACTTACGGGTTGATATGATTAAAGTTGTCTCCTACCTAGAATGTCTAATGAACCTGCAAATTGTTTCACTATACCAAGAAATGTGAAAAATAAAGTTAATAGCTCCTAATGGAAGATTTAACCTGGAACAGCTAACCTTCATATTTTCCGTAGAAATATCATGCATGTGTGTATTACTACCAGCAGTTCAACACTTTCACCTTTGTGAAAAAGTTTATACTCTGGAATCTAAATGTTTCACTTCATTCAAATTAATGTTAATGCAGCTTAAATGCATTGGCTCATTCAATACCCAGTCCCTGCTAATGCAAAACAATGTCATGGGAGGAGGGGCAATCATTATAGGGCTTTATAGGGAAGAATGTGGATAAATATATGCATACAATCCATAAGACCATGTTCCATTGGCTAGTACTTGCACTAATTAGTACTAATTCACAATCTAGTGAGAGAGGAAATCTTCTACTCTCAGTCCCAAATCTACTAAATCAATTTCACTTTTGTTCCCTGACTTTTCGTCCCACTATTCATAGAAAATATTCTACTTTTGGTCTTACTCTTACAACTATTAAATGCGTGGCCTGTGAATTCTTTGCCACTTTCATTCTTTTTTGTTTACTTACAGGGTGGAAAAAATGACAAGTGTACAGAAAGTGGCCGCGTGAGTGATTAGAAGAACAAAAATGTTCAGAATCCATAATGGTGCAGCACTGGTGATAAAGAAAGTTGATGACCAAAAGTAAAAATGATATAATAGTCGTGGGGGAAAAGAGTGATATACAAACTTCTGCGGGAATTTACCCCACTGATTTTAGTGGTTTGCCTACCGGAGTACCGGGACCAAAAAATAAAACAAATACAAATTCTACACAAAAACCTTTGCAATTCTAAAGATAGCGTTTTTCAGCTTTTCTGTAGAACTAGTTTTTATCAGTCCTATTTTATGTTATAAAGCTCCACATACAAGGCATGATATGATGATATCATATACATATCGATCTAACTGAATATTGGTTAGTATAATATGGTTAGAATCATTCCTGTATAATGCCATTGGATTTCGTAAAATAGGGCTTAATACTTCTTCAATCCTTTTTTAGTTACAACGTTTCAATTTTCACGTTTGCCAACGCACAAGTTTGGTCATTAATATATTTCATTCCTTATTAGTAAATAGATTTTAAAAATCAGATTTTGAAATTTTAAAATGAGAGGAATATAACAATATTTAAAAATAATAATACAAATTCACCAATGTTGCAACTAAAAAAGAACAGAGGGTATATGATTTCAATGTTTATTTATTAGTGATACAGATTCATACCTTTTACACATTACAAAATTAAAAATATAGCAAAATTTGCATGCATGCCAATATGCCATGCATATATATAAACAAACATAATGACAAGCTGAGAATAGAGCTTCCTCAAACAACCCAATATGACTATATGAGTAATTGAATATTTCTTTGCCAGCATTTTAGCAACTTCGACATTGAACCATTCTTGAAGAAGCACCCCCACAAACTTTTAGACGTACTTATAATATTTAACTTCAAAAGTTCATAGTTATAACTCATTATAAGGCTTCTATACATAAAAATGTCAGGTTTACAAAAAACATCAAGCTAAAAAAGTAAGTTTCAAGCTTCCACTAACAATCAGAACAAGTTCAACTCAACATACATAACACCAAGGAAATTGAGAATACTGATCAAGCGAGAAATCAGCAACTCACAGCAATAGCTTTGCAAGAGAAATCACCATCTAATTGAAAGGGGGGAAACAGCTTAATGACAGATAAAAAGACAAAGAGGTAGAGCCTCAAAAAGAGAGGGAAAGGCTAGTGAGTAGTGTATCTTCCACAAAGAGAACTCTGAGCTCTGTAAGTAAGGACCTAAGACCTAAGTTGCTAACTCTTAGCTTTAAAAAACGTGCAAAACCCTAGACAACTAGACGTATAGCTTGGTTTAAGCATAGAAACTTAGAAAGAACTACAAAGTCTTGTTGATTCCATTAAGCAGTGGTGGAGACAGAGCCCAGGGGCTAGAGGGGGCCTCGACCCTTCAACAACAAAAAATCTTATGTATGTGTATGTTGATTTGTTTATGTATGTTGTGGTGCAAAGTCTCGTTTGGGACTAAGGCTTGGATGTTGTTGTTGTTGTTGATGTGTATGTTGATTTGTAAATATATGTTCTTTGCCCCCTCAATATAAAATTCTCAAATCCGTTCACCTCACACATTTTGCAGAGCTTTTCAAAATTTACAGGGGCTCGTGAGTATAATACGAAAATCATACACCCAAACTACAGGCGGAATCAACTGAGCAGAAACTAAACAGTGAGCCCACCTAAGTATCAAGACCCTATATTTCCTACAAGAAAGCACTAGTAGCACATTTGCCTTATGCTGGTTAAAATTAGGAAATTTCCTCAAAATGTTCCTCAAAGGTAATGAAACTGAGGGTTACCAGTAAATGGCTTGCGTTTGACCGCAGGGTCAAGCTGATTGCACCAGCGGAGGCGGCAAGACTTCCCCGATGTGCCTGCAATTCCTCGCGCAATCAAGCTCCAATTCCTAGGGCCAAAGTTACTCACGAGTTTACTGAGAATTGCATCCTCTTCCTGAGACCATGGCCCTTTCACTCGGTCCGCTGCCCTCTTACTGCTCACTTGCTCGCTGTTTCCGCTGCCGTCATCCAAAACCACCAGCTCGTCGTCTTCCTCACACGTCTCGTAATAGTCTTTGCTGCCTCCTCCGCCGGCACCGCTATCGACGGGGGCATCACCGGCCGAGACCGGCAGATTCTCCATTTTCGTGAAATGCACACCCTACGGCCTCAGTAGTACTGTATTTTTAGTTGGTAAAATTTACAAGAATAATCCGTACTTTTAGGGATTCTCCAATAATAATCCCTACTGAGAGTGTCTACAAAAATAATCCGAACTAACAATATTGTTCATAAGAATAAATTGGGTGAATTCAAATTAATGTCTGTTTAATACTTTCAACACTTGCTCTCGTTTTCCTCTTCCCCAGGACGAAGAGTAACGAATGAGAAAGTGAAAGTAGAGGTTGGAAATATTAAATGAGCATTAATTTGAATTAATTTTGATTTATTTTTATGGACATTATTTCTAGTAAAGATTATATTTATAGATACTCTAAATATGGATTATTATCGTAGAATCCATAAAAGTATGGATTATTCTTGTGAATTTCACCTTTTTAGTTTAGTACGTATGTTTAAAGTCAAAATATCGTTTAGAATATTTTTTTTATATTTTTTTTGGGAGAATGTGGCTAATATTAATAAGAAAGAACGTAACTATGTAAGCAGCATAAATAAAGTTAATAAAATAAAAAGTGTGTGGTTTAGATTTGTGCAAGAAACTAGAGAAGAGATAATTAACTAAAACCATAAATTATTTATTTAAAAGAGAAAGTGACAAAGTTAGTAAAACAATCAAAAATAGAAAGCTGACAAAATTTTAAGAGACGGAAGGAGTAATAAATGCATTTATTTTTTAAAAAAAATAAAAATATAATAATTCTACTTTCAAATTCATATGCATTTTTTATCAGATTGATGTGAATCCTAGCGGCAAAAACAGAAGAGCCGTCCTCCAGACCGGGCTCGTTCGATTGCGGTGAAGGGGGGAGGCTTCCGTTTGGCGTTGGATTTACTTTTCTCTGACAACAAATTCTTCTTCCATCGTCTTGTTTTGCAATCCAAATTATCTGATGGTGATATCAACTCTTAGAGATTCTTGATAGAAGTATGATTCAATTGGATTGTTCTTCTCTTCTGGTTGTCTTGATTTTGTTCTGCGGCGGTTCTTTCCCAAGCACTTTTGCTCCGGGGTGGTTTGTCTCTCTCGATGTGGGGAGTTCTTTTGGTGTCTCGACTAGCTTCGTCTCGTCAGAGGTTTCTGTTTGCTTTCTTGTAAAGTGCCAAGATATTGGTAGAGCTCATCCTCCTCCAAAAGCACATATGTGCCATGAAGAATTTTGTGGGAAGACTATAGTTCAATTTTATTTTTCATTATTAGTACTTGGTTTTATTTTAGTTTGTGTAGGTTTGGTTTGGAAATTTGGACTTCTGGAATATGTTTGATAGACAGTATTTCAATTCGGATTGTTTTAGACTTTAAATTTTCCATTTCGTGTCTAACGAATCAGGTTGCTTTGTATGAGTTGACTGATTCTATATCTATTCACAGGACTCACGATCGGATCTGCCATAACTGTCTGGATGTTACCTTGCATCTTTTTTGATTTTATTATAAAAGTCGATCCTTTATATCCAAAAAGAAATCACATACATTTTACTTTAAAGTGGTTTTTTGGCAATCTACTCGTGTTGATGCTTCCTCCCCCAATCACATGTTATCTGGTACTGCCTTGCTCTCTCAGTCTAATGTTTTACTAGTCTAGGTTCAAATTTACTACTCCCTCCGTCCCGCAAAGATGTTCCCGCTTTCCTTTTTTGGATGTCCCAAAAAGAAGTTTCACTTTCCCTAAATGGAAAGTTATCTTACATCAAAACAGTGTCAAACAGTGCAAAACAGTGTTTAACAGTGACAAACAGTGTCCAAACAGTAAAATTTACCCCCTGGTAAGTTTATTTCCTTAATATGTGTAGGTCAAACCGGGAACATCTTTGCGGGACAGAGGGAGTAGTAAGGAATAATGACAAAAATAATACTCCCTCCGTCCCGCTAAGATTGTCCCATTTTACCATTTCGGGAAGTCCCACTGAGATTGTCCCATACCAAATTTGGTAAAGTTTGTGTGGTTCTAAACCATTTTTACTTTATTCTTACTTTATCAATTTAATATCAATCACACAAACTCACTTTTCTTAATAACCGTGCCACCTTCTCATGTCCCAATCTTAGTGGGACGGAGGTAGTACTAGATAAAAAGGGAAAAGTACTAAATCAGCCCTCAAACTAACACTGATAGTGCAGTGCAAATCACCCCTAAAGTAAAAAATAACCTCCACCCAAACCCTTCAAGTCGGTGATAAAGTGTAAATCACCCCTTCAATTAAAAAAAATTGGAATCAATTTCTCCAACTCGGCTATATAGTGCAAATTACTTTCCAAAGTCGTAATTTACCGGTTAAAGCTGATGTATGTCATTTATTAAAAAAGTTATGCCACATAAGATTCATTTATCCACTTCATTTTTCAATTACTTAAAAATATATATTAATACAAACAACAAACTATACACATTAAAATGAAATGTAAATTTATTTGATCATTAAATTGACTTGTACATTCACAAAAATATTTAAACAACCGTAGAGAAGGTTACGCAAATCTCTTAGTCTTCAAAACTTTCGCACCTTGGTCACTAGTCGTTTCCTACATGAAGTGGCGGGCGGTGTTATGTTTAGTTCTTGAGTTCGATGGTGGGTCTTCAGGCGATTATGGAAACACTTGATCGTCTCAAGAGATTGCATGCTCAACCTCGTTCCATAAGCAGTTAATAAAAGGTTTGATGAGATATGTTGGGGTGGATAAATGAATCTTATGTGGCAAAACTTTTTTAATAAAGGACATGCATCAACTTTAACCAGTAAATTACGAGGCCGTTTGGCAGCACTGTTTTTTGGCTTATCAGCCGACTTTTTCACCAAACACGTAACTTTTACTTTCACGCGCTGAGTTGCGTAATAAGCAGAAAAAGTAAGGTTGGAGTTACTTTTCTCACTGTTTTGGCTGAAGTTACTGTAGATGACTATTTGAACTATTTTTACATTTAATTTTTTCTTTATTTTATTAATAAAATATATTTTAAAAATAATTGTTTCTTAAATCAGCAGAATCAGCCAATGCAGCCACTTCAGCCAGAACTTCAGAAATTTCAGCAGAATCAGCCAAAACAGCCGATTTTCGTGCTACCAAACGGGCTCTACAATTTAGGAAAGTCATTTGGGCTATTTGGGCTATATCGCCAGCTTGGAGAATTTGATTGCAATGTTTTTAATTGAAGGGGTGATTTGCATTTTATCGCTGATTTGGAGGGTTTGGTTGAAAGTTTTCTTAATTTAGGGGGTGATTTGCACTGTCGATGTCAGTTTGAGGGCTGGTTTGGTACTTTTCCCTAGATAAAAATAAGGATGTTTTTACTTGGACTGAAATTTATTAGTCTGGTCTGTTTAAGTCTAGTTTTCTCTGGACTGGTCTAGTCTGATTTGGTCTAATCTGTTTAAGTCTGGTTAGATCTGGGCCTGAAAACAATCCAAGTCACTAAAGTACTAGCAAAATAAAATCACAAAACCCCTTCCTTTTGCTCATTCCTCATTTGCATCAGTTGCCTCATGCCCCGGCCGTTGCTAACTACCGCCTGCATAAAACAACCCTCACTCAGACTGTATTGATCATAATGCTCAATTTGAGACCATTTAGAACGTTTCAACTTTAAAGTAGCTAACAACTTCACTCACAAAACATATTCATCATTGTAATAACACACAACTCTTACTTTCACCTTGTTGATCATCATATTCAATTTGAGACACCATTTAGAACATTTCATTTTTGTAATGGCAAACAACATATTCACCACAATATCACTACACGACCCTTACTCAAACCTTATTGGTCACCATAGTACGTATTGAGAAACGATTTGCCTCACACTATCATTACGCAAACAGTAAGATTGTATGGTCTTCGTGTTCACTTTCAAACACCATTTAGGACATTCAGCTATACAATACCGAAAATTATATTCATACTCAAACAAACTGCTAATCACACAAGGAACATAGTCAAACCTTATGATCATCAAACCATCACAAAAGTATTACAATACCATCACAATACATGTTTCATTTTAAAAAAGCACCATTTATTTATCATTGTTGCCCCCCATAAGCACATGCTTAGAATGGGAATTTCAAACTACATATTTGATTGCAGAATAGAAAAAAACAAGATATAAAAATCAAAGAACTCCCATATTTGCTTGCAATACCTCACGTCCTTGCTTCTCATTTTTTGGTATAGTCATATTTAGCGGGCACTTCAAACCTATCGAAACATAATATTATCACCATATTATTATGTACATATTAGCACAATATTATCTTATATTTATCACTTGTATTTATCTCATACGTAGGGTTAGCTTTATCCCTTACTTTGTGCTAGTTAGTTCATATAGCTTATCTTCTCAATTGTAAAGCATATATATTGATGTACGTATCCTTAGCAGAATACAATAATTCTATTCCTCTCATATTGCTTCTTCATGGTATCAAGAGCCTTCCTCTAACGAGTTCAATTTTTTTTTTTTTCCGATCCGATCCTCCATGACGATCATTACCGCTACCACACAGGTGGTTGCCCTCACGGCTTCAACCCACTTCCCCATCAAATTAACCACCTCCAATTATCCCGTATGGAAGTGCCAGGTTCACTCGGCCCTCATTGGTCTTGGACTCGATGGATATATCGATGGCTCCACTGCGGCACCGGATCAATATCTGGATACTGCCAAGACTCAACCAAATCCCTGTTATGCTATTTGGTTTCGCCAGGACCGCACCATTATTAGTGCACTGCTTGGCAGCTGTACTGATGCTATTCAACCTTTAATCTCGTCAGTTACGACAGCAAAGCAAGCTTGGGACAAGCTCTCACTCACTTATGCAAGCACGTCGCGGGGCAGAATCATCTCCCTCAAAACTGCCCTTTCTCGAACAACGAAGGGGGGCCGCTCTATCACCGAATACGTTGCTGAAATGTATGCCATCTCTGAAGCGTTGGCTCTCGCTCAAAATCCCATTTTGGAGGAAGACTTGGTCATCAGCATTCTCAATGGCCTTGGTCCGGATTATGGAG